TGTGGTAGCATTTGAGATAGACTTGAAAGAATGGGTAAGACTTCTGTAGAGAGAAGAGGCTCTTCCACAGAGAGGACAACAGTGGTACGTGGTTGGAGGAGCAGGGCTTGTGTTAAGCTTGCAGCATGTTGGATAAGTTTTCTGAGGAGGGGAAGAAGAGTTTTGGGATCACACTGAGGTGAGTTTTGACTAACAGGGCAGAGCAGCTGGCACCTGAATTTGCTCCAGGTAGTCACTGGGGGCTTGAAGATCAGGCACTTTTGAAGCAGTTCTTAAAGAATAGCTGGGCACTGAGATCTGGAGACAAACAGCAGGACTAAAAGCAGGAAGAAAGAACCTGGTTCTTTCTTTGTTGGTTACCGGGAGGTGGGGGGTGGGGTGGGGTGATGGGAGGGAGGGGAAGGTGGAACACAGGGGAGGGAATAGACACAGGATACCTTGGGTGCTGGGGAAGGGGGGGGCGCAATATACAAGATGGGGGAGGGAATGGAGATGGGAGAACAGTTAGGCAGATTTGCACGGGCTAAGTGGGACAAAGATAAATACTGATGTAAGCACAACCTTGGAAAAACAGGCCTCTGGGATACAGGGATTGAGGAATGATTTAAATGGGCAAAAGGAGGGAAATAAGGTTAAGATGGTTGGCTGTCTTTTGGATTTTGTTTTTCCTTGCATACGATTGTAAAATAGATACTTGAGGGGGAGAGAAAGGAATAGCCAGAAAAACCATTATAGAAAGCTTTTAAGTCCATCTTCTGCCTATAACTGATTGAAATACCTAAAATGGGGCTTCAACTTGCCCAGTGAAGGAGACTTCCTGCAGAGCCTCTGCATTACATAAGACAATAGGTGGAATCCTGAACCCCACCCAGAATCTTCTGAGGTGGGAAATCTCCACTTGAAAGGACAAGCAGACCAGCCTGGAGTAGCTAGAAGAATAGAAGATACTTCTTGAAAGAAAGACCAACAGGAAAAATACAAAACAATAATGGCAGTCAAACGGACTATAACTGACTATAAAAATAAGCAAGTTGCTCGCCCAGGAGACATCAAGGCAAGTGGTTGGGTCTCCTCAGGGAAAATCCCCTTCTAAGACTAAGACTCAAGGAGAATACATGAGCAAACATGCGTTCTGACTGATGACCATGTTGGTTACTGATAAGGGGAAGTGAGGGAAAAACAGCAATGAAGCTATGAGCTAAGCCCTACCATGTTCAATAGACTCCTGTGAACCTGGGTGGAGACCTGGTTGGCCAGCAGTGTGGCAAGACCTGGGGACTCCTAGGCCCAGAGTCAGTAACATAGCCACAGAGGACTAGAGTGGAGAGTGAAGCGTCCAGCTGATTAGAAGTGAGAGCATATGCACAAGAACACCCACACTTGCAGATAATACCCACTTGACCTGGCTTCGATGGCTAGATGATTAGAACTCAACTAGGAGAAGAAAGAAGAGGAGAAAAAGAGTAATCTGATACAATTTGATGAACTTGACCTACACCTATGGATGCAGTAGCTCAAAAGAGGGAACAAATCTTTACAGTGCAGATCATTCCCATTCCCTTGATACACAGGGTAAACAGGGATGGGCAACTTGGACATTGGCTACCCAAAATGGGGGGGTAGGGGGTAGGAGGCTTCAAAGGCAAGAAGTGATTGGCTTACAAGCTTTCAAGAAAGAGCCTAGATCCAGGGGGCATGGAGGAAGGTAGACTCTCCACTGAGTAATATCCAATCTGTCAGGACTTGGCTGATGAAAGGAGATGGGGATAGGACTCTTGTGGTACAATAGTGAATACCTGCTATCAGGACTGACTGTGAGGGTTGGAAATGTAAAGGTAGACATTGTATAGCAAAAGGAGGGGAGTGGTTGACTTTGCAGTCTAGGACCATCAAGGAAGAAGGGCTGAGTGTGGTACCCTACCCAGAGAAACAGTGACACCAGAGATGGAGGCAGAGATGATGATGTGGAGAGATGGAGTGGCTGGGGACTCTAGACCCAGAGAGGGAGAGGGGCTGTATGCTGACAACCAGGGGCAGGCTTTCAGGGTATACCCTATGGTTGTTTGATGATGCATGGAGGGGATTGTAATCATGGCAATGAAACAATCAGCAATAGGATGAATGTAACGCTAATTGTCTCCCTTGTAAACTACCACATAATCCACAATAAAACAACAACAACAAAAAGCAGGAAGACTAGCAAGAAGTTTTCGATTGTGATTGAAGTCAGAAATATTTAGGGACATTAAAAAAGCAATGACAATTTGAAGTAGGGGATCATAGGGGGAGAGAAAGGAAGAATGTAACATCTTAGAATACACAGGACAATCTTCTGCAACAAAGAATTATCAATAGCGTTAGCTCAGAAACGCTTAATATATTTCAATAGGATTTCAGGGAGTTTTAGGCATAAACAATATTTTAAGTTAGACAGTGACACCTGATGGCCAAGTATAATATTTACACTAAATAAACACTAAAAACAAAAATTAAGTTTTCAGAAAGTTAAGGTTGTGGTGCTGTAGGATAAGCACTGGATCGCTAACCATAAAGTTACTGGTTCAAACACACCAGCTACTCCTTAGAAGTTCTATACAGGGTGCCTATGAGTTGGAACCATCTCCACGGCACTAAACAACAAGGCTTACAGAGAAGAGGCCTGGTGGTATTGTGGGTTAGGTATTTGATTGTCTGCCTGAAGATCGGTAGCTCAAACCCACCAGCTGCTCCTCAGGAGAAAATGAGGCCATCTTCTCCCATAAAGAGTGATTTGTGTCAGTTTGACTTTGTTCTCTAAGACTGCTATGAGTTGGGATTTATTAATGGGCAAGGCATACAGAAATAAAGAATATTCTTTCATGGAACACTGTCTAGGGTTTATACACATGGATCCTATAGGATAGTGTGGAGAAAAAATTCTGTCATGAGAACGGGCTCTTTGGTTGCAAGAGATTTTTAAATAGAAGTCAGTAAGGAAACAGAACCTTGGACAAAAATGCATTCTGTTCCATTAAAGTGGCGCAAATTCTACTATTGTTTCTGTACGAGTGAGGAAAAGAGGGAAACAAATCTACTCACTCTGCGGAATAAATGACTAAAACCTTTATTTCTTAGATGGAACCTATGACATTTCATTAATAAATAAAGATTGAACACACATAAGATGATTTTAGAGTTATGAAAAAATACAAGATGAATAGCACTAGAAACTTCTATTTGCTAAAGAATCGAGTTTTGCCCTAAGAAGTAGCATTCCACATGCCTTATATCTTACCTCCTCTACCAGATGACAAGCTTCCCGAGGTCAGGGATTGTGTTCCCTTCATGTTTTTTTTGTATCTCCCACAATGTCTGGCATAGCATCTTACACAGAGTAGACATGGAAATGGTCTTTGAGTTCATGAACTTTCTCATACTGCAAATCCTTGCCTTGAAAATTTCAAGTCTTTCTGAGCAGTTATATTCGTTCACTTGATAAGATGTCAGCTCAGGGTACCTGGCTCAGAGAACTCCAGAGATGTGGGCACAGGGTAACAGATGCCTCCAGTTCATTTCACTGCTAAGCCTAGAACAAACTATACTGTAATGACCATTACTTCCAGGACCATTTTAGGGGCCTGTTATGTGAACTACAGATTCCTCTGTCTAACATAATAAGATTCATTCATTCATCAAATATTTATTGACGGTCTACTTTGTGCTAGACACTCTTTGTAGGTACTATGGATAATTAAAGTCTAACAATTCCTGAAGTGGATAGGCAGGTTTTTGAATTGGTGGATTCCAATAAAGATGCAGATTCTTCTCTCCTTCCATTTCCCCAGTTTTCAGAGTAGTGTCTAACCTGATCAATGATCTCAAAGCAGCTTACAATTGATAAAGATGCTCCCCTCTGCTCTGCTGGAGCCAGGCAACCAGCACTCTCCCATGCCTTCCTCACCTTGTTTGATCTCTTCCTCCTTCATTGTTTTATAGACTTCCAGATTTTGGGTGGGGCACGAGTGGGCTACATGAATTGTTTTATGGGCAAATGATGATGGCCCATACATATTTAAGAAGTGGCAATTGAAGCTTATAATTTATAAAGTGACCCTACAGGAGAAATCTTTCTTATTGATTTATGAACACTCCTTTAATTCTAGAGTCTGTTGTTAAGTGCCATTGAATTGGTTTCAACCCTTAGCGACCCTGTACAGGGCTTCCAAGGAATTTTTGGTGAGTTTGAATTGCCAACCTTGTGGTTCAAACCAACCTTGTGGTCCAGTGCTTATCCTACAGCACCACACCAGGGATGTACAAAGTAAGAAAGGAGAAAAATCTGTCCCCTTGCTATCCAATAGACAATGGGCAGACAGGCAGAATCTAAGGTTCCAGTAAATTTTTTGCAATCTGGGTATCTTCTTACATGACTCAGTCCACCAAGGATACACATATCAAAAGCACTTCTCCACATACAGGAGTTGTATGTCATGACCTCCTGTGCTAACTGGAAGCTGATTGGATGAACTCACCAAAACTACTACTATGACGTGGCTGATGAAAGGTGAGGGTGCCCCCACCCCATCACCTTTGTCCTTTGCATTGTTGATGAGCTGGTGATATTCTAAGATCACTACTATCTAACTCCTGTCAGGCCAGACTGGGCCCCTAATTGCTTCTAGTAGGGTCAAAGCATCCCTAACACGACAGGGGACAGGGGGCAGGGGGAGCACGCCAACTTTCTCCCAAAGCATCGGATGGCAGCTGGATGACATCTTTGACTCATCTGCATTGACTTCTCATATTTTTGTTAGAATCTTTATAAGGCACAGCCCTACATTTCTTCCTCAGCCGAGACTATAAGAGCCCCCCAACCATGTTATTCAAAACTCTCATTGCCACAGGTCCAGCAGCCTGGTAACTTAACTCAAATTCAGTTGCTTGGAAACTGTTGGTGACTTGGCTTGTCCTCCATCCCCCTCCATAGTCTGCCCCCTTACATAGCAGGCACCCAGAGACTCTTAAAGCTCATCACTCTCCACTACACTCCTAGAAGAGCAGGAATACACCATTGTGCTTTCCACAGAGGTAAAGGCAGAGAAAATGTCAAGTCCTTTACTGGTGAGAGATCCATAGCGACTGCCACTGGGCCGGATAGACATGGGCGGTGGGATCTGCTGGTGCCACTGAGCTGGAAATAGATCAAACAATAAGTTATGATCAAATAAATACAGGCTTGCCGGCACACTGGGTTAAGTGGTGGGCTACCAAATGCAAGGTCAGTGGTTTAAACCTGCTAGTCGCTCTGTGGGGGAAGGATGGGGCTGTGTGTTCCCACAAAGATTCACAGTCTCTGAAACCTTATGGATTAGTTCTGCCCTGCCCTGTGAGACTGCTATGAGTCAGCGTCTAGTCAGGCAGTGAGTTTAGAAGGATACACTGGAATCCCTGGGTGCTCCAAATGACTACTGTGCTCTACCACTGACTGAAAATTTGCAAATTCTAATCCACCCATAGGTACCTCAAAAGAAAGGACTGGAGATACACACAGAGCAGCTGGTGGGTTTGAACCACAGACCTTGTAGTTAGCAGCCCAATGCCTAACCCACAGCATCACCAGGACTCCTTTTCAAGTCCAAGGATAGGGGAAAATAAGCAAAAAATGATATATTTCCTCCAAAAATTGGGTCTAGGGAAAATGAGAGACTAAGGCCCCCTCCTGTTTGGCCTAAATAAAACAGGAAGTTACTGGTGCAGTCCTATAAACAGCAGGGACACCATGTTCTAAGCAAAATTGCTCTTGTTGTTGTTATTCTGGTTAACTGTGCTAAACCAGTAAAATGTGAGAAATGCACTAATCTAACCAATTATTTTTTTAAGTGAAAAAAAGGATTTAAAAAAAAAAGAATCGCTTTTTTGAATTAAGGAATATGTCGCCAAAAATACCTGCTTGTGTCAAAAATTATAGAGAAAGACGATGCAAATCCCAGCCTCCACTGAGACCAGAAGAACTAGCTAGTCCCCAGCTACCACTGCTGATTGCTCTGAATGGGATCACAATAGGAAGGACTGGATAGTGTGTGAGAAACACAGGACAAAACTCAAAATAATAAAAGAAAAAATATCAGGCTTGCCTTTTGGCTGAGAACCTTACACAAGGTGGTAAAAGAAGGAGCCAAGAAAAAAGTGATTGATCTGTTTTCTAAGAAAGATTGGTATGACATGAAGGTACCAGCTATGCTCAATATAAGAAATGTCAGGAAAACATTAGTCACAAGGATTCAAGGAACCTAAATTGCATCTGATGGCCCCAAGGGTCATGTTTTTGAAGTGACTCTTGCTAATCTACAGAACGATGAAGTTGCACTTAGAAAATTCAAGCTAATTACTGATGTTGAGGGAAAAAAACTGCCTGACCAACTAACTTACAAGGCAGGGATCTTGTTAAGTGCGAGTCAGTTCCGACTCATAATGGCCCTGTATAGGGTTTCTAAGGATCATCTGGTAAGCTTGAACTGCCGACCTTGCAGTCCAGTACATTAGCCCGCAGCACTACACCAGGACTCCTACCTGTGACAAAATATACTCCATTGTCAAGAAATAGCAGACCATGACTAAAGCTCATGTTGATGTCAAGATCTCCAATGATTATTTGCTTCTTCTGTTCTGTTGACTTTACTAAAAAACGCAACTACCAGACTCAGAAGTTATCTTATGCTCGGTACCCACAGATCCATCAAATCCAGAAGAAAAAGATGGAACTCATGACTCAAGAGGTGTAGACAAATGACTTGAAAGAAGTGGTCAATAAACTGATTCCAGACAACATTGGGAAGGACACAGATAAGGCTTGCCAGTCTATTTACCCTCTCCATGACGTGTTTATTAAGAAAATTAAAATGCTGAATTGAGGAAACTCATGGAGCTTCATGGTGACGGCAATAGTTCAGGAAAAGCTACCAGAGAAGAGACAGGTGCTAAAGTTGAAAGAGCTGATGGCTATGAGCCACAGGTTCAAGAATTTGCTTAAAATTCAGATTCTTAATGAGGACAAATAAAAGATCATATTTGTGAAAAAAAAAAAAAAGAAAGAAAGAAAGAAAGAAAAGACCAGACTACTGATCAAATAAAGACTGGTAGAACCCCAAATATTATGAAGTCATCCTTCAGGTGTGGAACTGAATTCACCCCCATGGCTCAATTTGCAGTCTAACAATAGAGCTATAAGGTGAACAGTAACAGCAGGGTGGGCCACATTCCTTAGAACAATCAACCACACTAGATCAAAAGGGCAGCATTTGCTCAGATACAAGCCTCGAAAAGTAGGGGTGGATAGGAAAGAAGTGGGAAGGAACGGATTGGGAAGGAGGTGGGAAGAGCGCTGCTACACTGTGGAGATTGTAATTCGTGTCACGAAACATGAATGAATTGTTGAATAGAAAAAAATTTGCTCTATACACTTTTCACCCAAATCACAATAAGAAGTTAAACAAAAATAAAAGGGGATAGGAGGAGAGCATACAAGACATTAACAAAAGCCAAACCAAATCAAATCCACTGCCATGGAGTCAACTGAGACTCACAGCAACCCCACGGGACAGAACAGAAACGCTCCACTGGAGTTCTGAAACGGTCACTCTTTACGGGACATTAAAAAGGTGGGCTTTGTATTAGCAACTTGGCTCAAAGAACAAAGCAAAGGCCTGGGCTTCTGTCCCAGCTGGTAGTTACTTCACATCCCTAGGGCTCAGTTTCTTCAGCATTTAATTGAGGGTAGCAATTACAATAGTCTTATTGGTTTGGGAAGATCGATCCAAGGGTAACACTTTGTAAATGATAAACAAAGCATGATATCAGTGTTATTTGATAGTATTATTAAGACTGATTTCTATTATTAGGGAATGTTGATTTGGGGTTAGGCAACAAGTATTTGTTGAACAGATTAAAAAAAGAATGGGTTTGGAAACTTCATCCAGGTGGAGCTACTGTGGGGGATGGTTGGGGTAGATGGCTCCAGGCTATAAGGAAGTGACTGAAGGTGCTGGATGCTTTGCATACGTAAGCTTTGCTCTGGGTAGAAGGATAAGCACGTGTAGTTGCTGACGTTAAGTGCCATCAAGTCATTTCTACCGTGTTTATGGGGTGTCTGAGGCAAAGAGCAGAAAGCCTCGTCTTTCTCCCACAGAGCTGCTGCACCTCGGACCTTGTGGAGTCAGTTCCAAATCATAGTGACCCTGCACAGGGTTTCCAAGGCTGCAGATTTTTACGGGAGCAGAAAGCCTCATCTTTCTCCAACAGAACAGCTGGTAGTTTCGAACTGCTGACCTTGAGGTTACCAGCCAGATTCATAACCACTACACTACCAGAGCTTTTGTGGTTCTTAGTCCAGCGCTTATCATATGGAGCCACGGCACTCCCAATAAGCACATAGTAAAATGTAAAACTATACAAAAGACCTGAGGGGTGCTAAGATGAGATTACTTTAAACATCCATCTCTTAAATACTAAAATCAAATCAAATCAATTTACTACACCTATCTCTAAAACACATACATGAGAGGCAGATATTCATTCATGACCGTCCACCTACCATATATATCCAGTCTAGCAGTGCACGACACAATACCAGCTTCATTCTTGGCTGACAACGTGTACCATCCAGCATCTGATTTCTTGGCTGGCTGGATGAGGAGGCAAACATATCCAGTTGTGTCTTGGTGCATACTAGAGAAAAGAAAGAAGAAGGGGACAGTTAGGGACAAAAAGGTCATTGTCAAGTTTAGGGCTAGAGCCAAGTAAGCTATACTGGTTCTTTTTCCCTCCTTCTTGTGCCCTAGAAGAAGGAAAGGGAGACTTGGCTGAAAGCAAGCATCAAAGGCAAATTTAAAGGTTGTTGTTAAGTGCCATTGAGTCGGTTCTGACTCATAGCAACCCTGTATAAGGTTTCCAAGGAAGCGGCTGGTGAGCTTGAATCACCAACCTTGCGGATCAAACCAACTTTTCAGTCCAGGGCATTAACCCACAGCGCCACACCAAGACTCCTTGAAGGCAGTAAGAATCACAATAGAGCAGCAATTAACCTAAAATGTTAAGATGAAGGTCAACAGCCAGGAATGAGACCTGTTCTTCCCTCCCTACTGCTCCAACTCCACTGGGGGTCTACTTTCCCCTAGGGCAAGCTCCCATTTTTCATATGCAAAGTCTGGAAAAATCTCTTTGGTAAACAATGTTGGAAACTTGAATAAGCACTTCAGTTAAGAAGCTATGGGAAAATAGATCAAGACAAGAGCCCAGGGACAGAAGAACTAACAGAATGAAGCAGGCAGGCATACCTGAATGGTGGTCTGTCCAGCTTTCAGCTTAATATGCTTAAGGAAATTAGCAGACTCTTTCCTTCCGTCTTCTCCACATCAGGGGGTCTCAGCCTTAGCTGCACATTGGAATCCCAGGCCACATCCCCAACCAATTCCATCAAATCTTAGGTTGGAGGCCCAGATGATTCCTATATTAGCTAGGACTGAGGGCCTCTGGTCCACACCAATCCTCTAGTTGGCCTGGCCACTGGTTCCAACCCTCTTTCTGAGGTTGTCTCAACACATTTTCAGGGCAGATATAAAAACAATCGCTTCCTAAACTCAAAGGATAAACAAGTTTTTCTCATCCATTGAAAGTTATTACATATTCAGATGTAACAAGAAGAAATAAAGTAATAAATCCATCACAAGCTCACCACTCTAACTTACTGGCTACCTTTATTTTCTGATTAGTCAATTCATTCTTTGGTATGTTTTTAAAGCAAACCGTTTTTGAATATTTACTTTGTTGGACATAATAATGGTGCTATTATGCTAGTGATCGGGTACAAAGATGAATATGACAGAAACCCCTTCTCTAGAGAAATCTTTGGTCTCCCTGGTGGCATAAAAGATTAAGTGATTAACTACTAACTGAAGTCAATCTAGACAGAGATACCGCAATAGTCCTGTGTGGTACGGCGGGTAAATGCACTGGACTGCAAGTTTGGTTTGAACTGTAAGGTCGGCGGTTCAACCTCACCAGCCACTCCTGGGAAACTCTACCCAGGATTGCTATGAGTCGGAACTGACTCGATGACACTTAACAACAACACAGGTACCGCAGAAGAAAGACCTGAGGATGAAAGTTCTTAGCCTTGGCAAGTTTATGGAGCACTTCTACTGCCATGCATGGGGTTGTTATGAGTCAGGATTGAGTTGGTGGCAACTAACAACAACAATCCTTAGTTTAGTGGGAGACAATCCTTAGTTTAGTGGGAGAGAAATCAAGGTACATAGAATATGATGAAGACTAGAAGAGATTTAGGAAAGGTGCTTTGGAAACAGTTAAGTGCCATTGAGTTGGTTCCAGCTCCGAGGGACCCTGTATAGGGTTTCCTAAGGAGCGGTTGGTGGGTTTCAATTGCCAACTTTGCAGTTAGCAGTCTAGTACTTATCCTGTAGTGCCACACCAGGGGAGGTTATTCTGAGAGGCAGCAGGCAGCAAGGAAGTGACCTGAAGATGCTGGCTGCTCAGAAATACAAGCATATGTAAGCTCTCCTCAAGGCAGGAGGATAAGTTCCTAGTAAACATGAAACTGCAGAAGACCTGAGGTAACCAGGATAAGGCTATTTAAAAAAAACAAAAAATCGACCTCTTGACTCCTAAAATACAGTTCATTTATGGGAAAGCTCCCCAGAAGCCATGATTGTGTTGAGTGTAAAAAGCTGAGTAGGAATTCACCAAGGGGGGGTGGGTCCCAGGGCATTCCAGGTGGTGAGCACAGCCTGGCCAAGGCCTGATGGTGTGTGAGAGACTACAACATGCACATTGTGGCTGGGAGTGGAGGCATATGGGGGCGGGCAGGTGATGGGATGGAGCAGGAAGGCAGGGAGAGGTTATGAAGGGTCACATGCACCACATGGGACAGAGTTGGGATTCTTCCCTACAGATTTTGGGAATCTACTGATATAGTCTAAGCAAGAGGTGATAAGCTCTGCTGGCATTCTCCAAAAGGTCACTCTGACCATGTTGAGAAGGCGCGTTTACTACGTGCTGAGTCTGGAGGCAGAGATAAATAACATGGTGCTACATACTGCCATGTGGCGCTGTGGGTTAATGCGCGCCAGACTGCAAAGCCTTTTGAACTGCAAGATCAGCGGTTCAAGCTCACCAGTTGCTCCTTGGAAACCCTATACAGGGTCGCTATGGGTCGGAACTGACTCGACAGCACTTCACAACAACAACCCACTGCCATAGTTTAGTGATATGAGGCAACAACAATGGAAATTTATACATTTGTTCAAAATTCATTCACGCTAAAAATGCCTACCAGGTGAAAGGCATTGTGTTGGGTATTGCGAATTAGGACCCACAAACAAGCTGCTGCCCCTGTGCTTAAGCGGCTCTCAATCTAATTGGGAAGATAAATAATTAAACCAACAAAACTGACACATATGCTGATGTGCAGTGGCATATCCACACTTTGCCCTGCTAGAAGCAAGTAGTGTCTTGCTTCCTAAAAACTCAGTACCAGTAACTTTCAAACTGATGACTATTATCCCAGTTCTGCCTTTCAGTTGTTGAGTCTGTAAGTTTGTCTCACCTCATCCCTCTCCAAGTTCTGAAGCCACAGCATCAACAATGTTGTTGTTGTCATTGAATTGGTTCTGAATCATAGTGACTTTATCTGTGCAGAACGGAACAAAACACTGCCTAGTCCTGCACCATCCTCACAATTGTTAAATATTTGGTTCCACTGCTGCTGCCACTGTGTCAATTGATCTTGTTGGGGGTCTTCTTTCTTTTTTGATAACCATCTACTTTACTAAGCATGATGTCCATTTCCAGGGACTGGTCCCTCTTGATAACATTTCTAAAGTATCTAAGACAAAGTCTCACTACCCTTGCTTCTAAGAGCACCCTGGCTGTATTTCTTTCAAGATAGATTTCTTTGTTCTTTTTGACAGTTCATGGTAACTTCAATGTTCTTCACCAATGCCATAATTCCAAGGCACCAATTCTTTTTTGGTCTTCCTTATTCATAGACCAAATTTCACATACAAATGAGGTAGTTCATAGAAAATCTTAGAAACTTTAGAAAACATTTTTTTACAAAATCAAAATGTGAAGTTATTATTTCTCAAAATATGCTCTATCTAGGTCTGTGTATGGAGTCCTGGTGTGGCACTGTGGACCAATGTGTCAGACTGCAGAGGCCTTTGAACTGCAATGTTGGTGGTTCAAGCTCACCAGCTACTCCTTGGAAACCCTATACAGGGTCGCTATGGGTCAGAATTGACTTGGCACCACTTAACAACAACAAGGTCTATCTATACACTTCTGAAGGCTTTGTTCCCATCTCTCTAACTTTCCCCAAAAGAATGCCACATTTTAAATTTTACATTATGTGAAAACAGCAGTTTGCATATTCTTGATGACCCAAAATCATGTTTCTTTGAAATGTTCCTTGAATTTTGAGAACAAACCAAAGTCTAGAGGGGCAAGGTCAGGGCTGTAGGTTGGATCATGTAAGGTTTCCCAACAAAATTTTCATAGAACAGCCCTTGCTACTCTCCAAGAATGAGCAGGTGCATTGTCGTGATGGGGAAAAGTTCCTCAGTGCAACTTTCCTGGCCTTTTACTCACCAAAGCAGTTTTCAATTTTCTTTAATTAATTTCCTAATAAGCCCTGGTGATCATCGTGTGTCCTTCAAGAAAATCCCTGTGGAATCCCGAAGTACAGTTGCCATAATCTTCTGAGTTGACCTCTCTGTCCCAGCAGATCTTCTCGGAAGCCAGTTTTGATCGGATTTTTTTTGAAGCCACCCTACCCAGACTGAGACCAGCTTATTTCTGAGAAAACTTGTCAGCAGCCATCCAGTGGTCAAAGAGACATGTTTTGTTTGGAATAACCTGTGCATGTATGAACTGGAACCGTAGTAGTAATACTTTTTGACTTACCCTCATAAGTTCAATCTAGTTTTAAAAACACGTCACTCATTTAGGCTGAAGTGTGTAGTCAAGGATAGTCTTTGTTCTTTCTTTAGTTTATTTTTCTTTTTACCAGAGAAAAATCTTGACTATAAAGGATTCTGAGATTCTACATAAAGAATCTACAACTATAGCATGCCCTGGGACAATTCCCGTTTACTGTGAAGAAATCAGTTTTAGTAGACATTTTTGTACACAAGCTACCTTTGGTTGTTTGCTTGCCCCCTCGTGGTACAAGAACAAAATGGCAAAGGAATAGGGTTGGTTAGGATAACCACACAAGGAGTCCAGGTGAGGCAGTTTGAACTCATCAGCTGCTCCATGGGCGAAAGATGTGGCAGACAGCTTCGGTAAAGATTCACAGACTTGGAAACCCTATGGGACAGTTCTACTTTGTCTTATAGGGTCAGTG